CTCTCTCTCTCTCTCTCTCTCCTCTCTCTCTCTCTCTCTCTCTCTCTCTCTCTCTCTCTCTCTCTCTCCTTCTCTCTCTCCGCTGCACCGGATACTGAGGAATCAGTGAATAAGCCCTCCCCTAATGACAGTTGGAGAGGTGATGGCGGTTACCTAGAGCTTTGATGAACTACTGCAGCCATGTTTATCCGTCATGGTGTTAGCGGGACTTTCAAAGCGGATCCCGGGATCTGGGATCACGTCAGGGCAACATTTCTGTCTTTCATGCAAGTCACATGAGCATTCCACTAGCACGCACCCTGTGGTACTATGTGGCAAACCAATGGAAACTGAGACGATCAAGACTGACAAATTTCCCCGTTGAATGATCTCACCGCATTTCTCTCCCCGTGCGGCAGGAGCCAGAAAACATGGCCAAGATCATCGCGCACGACTACCAGCGTCAGTGGATCGACGAGCGCGACACGTGGGAAGACTCGCCACGCCACCTCTAACGACCACCAGCGCATGCGCATGCTGAACCGATGCAGCGAAACGGAGAACAAGTAGGTACGCATGTCGCCGTCGCCCTGCGGTTGTTACCCTCACCTGCCTTGATTCAGACAGCCATTAATCACGAGAGAGAGAGAGAGAGAGAGAGAGAGAGGAGAGAGAGAGAGAGAGAGAGGAGAGAGAGAGAGAGAGAGAGAGAGAGAGAGAGAGGCGATTTGGATGTTAAAGGTGGAACAGCTGAATACCTGGAGTGCGTGCGTGTGTGTGTGTGTGTGTGTGTGTGTGTGTGTGTGTGTGTGTGTGTGTGTGTGTGTGTGTGTGTGTGTGTGTGTGTGTGTGTGGTGTGTGTGTGTGTGTGTGTGTTGTGTGTGTGTGTGGTGTGTGCGCGCGCGCGTGTGTGTGTGCGTGTGTGTGTGGTGTGTGTGTGTGTGTGTGTGTGTGTGTGTGTGTGTGTGTGTGTTGTGTGTGTGTGTGTGTGTGTGTGTGTGTGTGTGGTGTGTGTGTGTGTGTGTGTGTGTGTGTGTGTGTGTGTGTGTGTGTGCGTGTGGCAGAGTACGGGAAGAAGAACAAGTCTGAGCGCGCTCCTAAGTCAGATAGCCGTCGCAGATGGACCAAAGGTCTATGACAGGGGTCCTGTTCGGTAGGGCTGTTATTATGTTCGGTGGGTTTGTTGTTATGTACATCTGCTGTTATATCCTATGTACCCAGTGAACTGACGGCCTGCTCCACTGCTCGGTGATTCGGTGCGATCGGAGTGTCCCTCACAGGGCCGCAGTCGTTGCCTCGGAGGGACTCTCTACGACACGGCACGCACGAGCTAGCCCAGCGGGGGGGGGGGAGGGAGGGGGGGGGGGGGCAGGCGTTGCACTCCGACCCATCCGGTGCGGGTGTCAGTACGGTCAGGGGCTAAGCGAAGCACGTATTACGGCAGCGGTTTTCACGCGGGAACGCTGTCATCTTTAATTTATGTGCAATCTTTCCCTTCTAAACCGTTAATCGAGAAGCAAATGGGCGATGTGTTGTAATGAAGGCCTGTTCTGAAACTCTACTAATAGGTGCGACAAGTCCATGAAAGCGGGAGATGGATACCCATGGACCATGGTGGGGTCGGTGCGGCCGGGGTCGGTGCGGCTTTTATTCCTGTCACGGAACAAGCGCTCCGTGCCTGTTCGTCCTGATCACGGCCGCGGGCATCCCTACCTTTCTCTGGCATAGTGCAGCACACCGCTCTTGCTTGGACACTGCACCGTGCGACACCCTTGTGCTGACGATAGGCATGACGCAGCCCGCCCCAACCATCTGGCTTTTTACCATTGGGTGTGTGTGTGTGTGTGTGTGTGTGTGTGTGTGTGTGTGTGTGTGTGTGTGTGTGTGTGTGTGTGTGTGTGTGTGTGTGCATGCGCCATTGGGACTTTACGACGTGCTCACCTGCTGGGGTTATACGGCGTCGCCTATCTCTCACCCCGGCAGAACGGCGGGCACCGCGGGGAATCGAACCACGTACATCTGGTTTCTCAGACACGCAGTGGCTAACACAGATGGATACCCATACCCACTGTCAGGTCAGCATTGTTTGGAATTCATTACACATAAAGGAGTGCAACTACCCCCCCCCCCCCCTCCTCGATGTCCTCAAGGTAGTTGTGTCTAAAATTCCGAAGACACAGCAACTATCAAAAGATCACGAAAATGTGCGCGCTCTATGCACTGAGCGCTTCACGATTGAGTACCGAGCAATGCGGTGCCAGTGTCGTCAAGGGAGATAGTTTAGATAGCAGTTTAGAAAATACGGTATTATGGACTTGCTTTCAATCCACTGACTCATGTAAGCGTCGTCGAAAACAAAGCAGCAACAGAATCGCCGAAGTCTAAAGTTTACAGGCATAACAGGGCGTGAAACGGAGCGAGCGGGCGGCAAAAATCGTAGTTGTAAAGCATGTGCACCCCGTAAGCTTGACAGCAGAATCCTGAGTGAGCCAAACGGCAGGGCACACATGGTGCCTTGAAGCTACGAATGACGATCGGTATCACGCCACGTCAATGGAAGCGGTATTCCAAGGGTGTGCATAACGCACGGACAAATCATACCGATGTGCGCCGCTCAGTAACCTAAAAAAAGTGAAATCCCAGCTGAGGAACAAGTGAAGCGTATCCTAGTGTCTTAATCGACTGGTAGATGAACATCGGTCACCGATTACAGGTTCGTCGAGCACCAGAAATGCGCGCGCGCAGCTAAGGCAGAAATGGCAGAGGGACGGATACCCGACTGCAAGAAACGGTGAGCTCTGGACCGACTGTTCCTTCGACCAGGGCTGAGTTTGAGCCACAAAGGTAGACACATACGCTCTACTTAATCGCACCGCATAGGTAGTTTCCGCGAACGATGAAGTTTTATGGACTTGTTCTATTCATAAACGATTTACAGACCGAAGCCTGAATACCATTACACCTTTTTCTGGTTCGTGTGCGTACGTGGTGCCATTGAAAGGCGCGCGCAACCGCAGTTCTGTGTAACGAAGCAAATTCCGTCGGCGTTGCATTCTTCCCAGTCGTAAAATCCCCGTGGCAGTAGCGCAAGGCTTGAACAGGGCCGAGCTATCATCGATGTCGTTCCCGGAGCTGGTGTTTGCACTGAGGCGAGCCACACGGCCAGCAGGTCCGGACTCGTGAGTCAGGAGCGCGGCCCCTGACCCACCCTCCCGGCTGTAGCTTCCCGACCCCTGAGTCGGCATGACGCAGCAGGCGGCGCGCGACCATGACTCAGCCACGCGGGTGCGACGACTCAGGCCAGGGGTAGCGGGCTGCCTTCGGCCCGCAGCTGGGGAGCGTGACCCATGGACGGGAGCGTCGCAAACGTAGGTGACCTAGCGAACGCTGCTGTCCGCAGATCAACCACGCAGCGGCCCTGGTACCCGCCCGGCAAGGTTTGTGTGGTTCGAAGACGCTGCGGCTGCTGAACGATCGCCCCGCCCGCTCACAGGAAAATTCCAGCCGTAGTTTGTGGTGACACGCGTGCGTGTAAATTAACTTTGTCTGAGTTCGTGACAGGAGCAACAAATCAGCAGGTTAACATCACTTCCGGTCCAAGTTGTTTGTAATGAAATCCGCTTGTGTTGTTCAACGTAGTGTGTATTTCTTCTTCAATACATAAGACACTTTCCCCGACAGCTTCCGGGTAAACATCCTCCCGATCTCATTGGTTGTGCCCTCGGTATCGTCGCGCAAATCGGGCCAAAGCGAAACGAGACGGCCTCACCTTCGCGACATCGCCAACTGGTGACCGTAATTCGACCGGTCCAAACGACGAGCATGCGATGCATATGACCAAAGCCTGAGTACACAGAGAGCCGACGCCGAAGTCGGAGCTGGTGACCGCGCCCGCCGCCCGTTGCCGCACACCGCGCACGCGTCGCCGTCACCAAACATGGCCGGGTGTGGCTGCGAGGCGAGCCGCCGCCACCGGCCGAGGCGCGGCCGCGGCGCCAGCGGAGCTCGCCGCCTCTGCAGGCCCGGCTCTGCGGCTCACGCACGCCACCAGCAAATACAGACAGACATGGCGACGTTAGCCAGCTTTCGGGCATATCACAGCGCAGAGTCGGTCGAAGGCATGCAGACCGGACCGCGAACGAGATGCTAACTCAGTGAGACAGGCGCTCGGGGCGGGCCACGGGCGGCACCTGACGCACGGCACCGGACAGCAGCGGCCACCGTCCCCAACAATGATGGGTGAAGGCACGTATCCGAGTGGGGGCGCAACGATCATTTTATGCCGAATCCTTGCATGCGACCTCGTAGGGTAATTGTTCCACCCTCTGAAAGTGGGGTACCATGGCACTCATGCACGTACATGCGCATGCAGTTTCCTACGCCTATGCCGACAGTAATCTGCAAGATTCTCGCATGAAGACCAGGAAGTACAAGCATATATAAAACATACAGATATAGGTAACATACAACAGATATAGGTGCTAAACGACTGCACTGCATATGGCCATACGTATACATGGCAAGCACAAGTGCTGAGTGCAATTTCGATAAGACACGGAACGTGTTCACCTTAAAGTAGGTCATGTTGTACGTTTTGTTTATAAAACCCGCTACAGGCGATTGTGACACAGAAAATGTCATGATTCGCTCAGAAATACAACCGCTGGGACATTTCCGGCCCAAAAGGGCAGCCAGACGAAGGCAAGCGTGATTGCCCCATTTGGAGGCCACCACAAACCCCTACAGTGAAAGTGCGGGATTAGTCACCAGTCTTTGAAAGTACATCCGAATCAGCCAAAGCCCCATCCCTCAAACGATATAATTTTGATTAAATTTACGATAAAAAAACATTGGCGTAAGTTGCACACAGCACTATCTCACTCCATATACCACTTGAATCAACCAATCGACCGACTGCCAACTACAAAACAGATGAATGAAGCTTGAAATACCATGACAACTTCCTCTAGAACCAAGGATAGGCTTTGAGACTGCTTATTGGCGAGATAAAACGGTCATTTTAAACGGAAACCCGGCACGGAGCTCTTAACGGTAAGTTCTCGATAACTCGTGTCGCAGCTCCAACCAGACACGACCCACATGGACACGTCGGAAGACATAAACTTCCGCGGTGGCGCTCTCCCTCAAGGCTAGGGGGCTAACATATCCTTCAAGGCCTCCGTGGATAAAGCGTAGCAAAACACTACGGCCAGGCACTGAAGAACCCAAAGCCTGCCGTTGTAAAGCCAATATTGTCAGTACAGGCTCGTAAAGCATGCGTGACCAGGTACATACTCGTATGCAATGCGCGGCACAACGTAACTCAACGGCGACAGCTCGACAAACGGGCTGGAGAAGTCAGCACACGTGCCGGCTAAATGTCCGCCCGGCACGCAGCAGATAACGGAAGCGACGCCCCGGCGGCGGCAGCTGGTCTGTCGCACCACGGGGCGGTCGCCGCACGGCGCCGGCGCCCGATCAGCGGCGGACAGCGTCTGGGCTTGAGCCGGCGTCGCTGCTGACGCAGCGCGCCGTCGCCATCGCTCTTGCGACGCGCTCGCCCCCCCCCCCCCCCCCCGGTGCACACCGCTCAACAGTGCTGCGGCCGGGGCGCGGCGCGAGCGCCGCTGCCTCCCCCGGCCGCAGGTGCGCCTCACGAGGTGGCGCCAGCCGGCCGAGAGCTGGCCGGCGCCGACGGCCGACGCGGGCTCTGCGGCACGTCGTACGTGTCGCCGTCGCGGCCGGTCGCCCTCACTGGCACCGCGTACGTCTCGGAGAGGGCGGCCAGCGTCTCGGCCGGCGGCCAGCCAGCCAGGTGTGAGTAGGGTCCCAGCGGTCCCCCACCCACCAGCGAGTACGGCGCCAGAGGCGGAGGCCGCGGCGCAAGCGAACTGTCCGGCGGCGGCGCCTCCTCCGGCGCCGAGCGAGCGGCGTCGGCCGGTCGGCGCAGCACGGCCGCCTCCTCCTCCGACAGCGGCGCCGGCTCGTCCTCCGCCGGCGGCTCCGCGGCTACCGGCGCCGGCGGCTGCACGTTGTGGGAACGCGGCGCGTCGTACAGCTCATCGGCGGGCGACGGAGGCGGCCGCGGCGACCGCGTCGGCTTGGGCGGCAGCGGCGGCGAGAGGGCGGCACCGGGCGACACCGGCACCGAGCGCGCCGCCGACAGCACGTCGTAAATGTCGGAGGCCGACGGCCGGGCAGCCGACTCCAGCTCTGGCTCCACCTCCTCAGCCGGTGGCGACGGCGGCACGGCAGTCAGCGTCACCACCTGGGCGGCGGGGGCAAACACCGGCGCGTCAACGCAGCGCAGACACCACCGCCACACAGACACGGCAGACACCGATGCGTCAGCGCAGCGCAGACATCACCGCCACGCAGACAAGGCAGGCACCGACGCGTCAGCGCAGTGCAGACATCACCGCCACGCAGACAAGGCAGACACCGGCGCGTCAGCGCAGTGCAGACATCACTGCCGCGCAGACACGGCAGACACCGGTGCGTCAGCGCAGCGCAGACATCACCACCACGCAGACACCAGAGCGTCAGCGCAGCGCAGACATCGCCGCCACGTAGACACGGCAGACACCGGCGCTCAGACGTACGCTTCATTCACCGACATTCGCAGGAGTGATTAACTCGCATGACAATACAACAGATGGCCAGAAATCTTGCCAGCTGAAAAAAACATGTCGCATAGGGTCCGAACTGTACAAATATCACAGTTATATTCTACCATCAACGATGTTCAGAGATGTTTATCACGAACGTAACAGCTACGGATGAATTATACATTCTTCAATGGTTTTGCCATCGCCGAGATAAACAAAACACCATTGAACTCCAACACGTGAAACGGCCTGACCTCTCGAGCGTGGCCCGGCCGATGATCCGACCCCAGAACTCAAGAGGTGGCCAGAATGGAACATGTATACCGAGCTCAGGGGTGGCCAGATCGGGACCAGCCCGGGGAAACCAGATCTGACACGTATTACGACCTCAGGGGTAGCCAGTTAGAACGCAGAGACCGGTCTGGGGAAGTCAGATCCGACACGCGCGCTCACCTGAGGGGTGGCCAGGTCCGACAGGTTGCGATACTCGTTGTCGCTGTCGAAGAACTTGTGCAGGGCGCAGAAGCTGGGCCGCTCCTTGGCGTCGTACGCCCAGCACTTCAACATCACCTCGTAGATGCCGCCCGGGCAGTACTCGGGCTTCTCCAGACGCTGGCCAAGCTCCACGATCTCGAGGAACGCCTGCAGCCCGGCGCGAGACAGGAGAGGTCACGGCCAGACGAAACGAGATAAGGGCGGCGGCAAACAGTTGTCACACAAGGCCGCGCAGCGGACACGAGGCATTATGACGGCACGGACAGCAGGGACAGCGGCTACGCACTGCTGGATCAGTCGCACCAAGGATTGATGTGTGCAATGGACAATTGCTATCCAATTATGGGACAGCCATCGCTACTATGTATAATTTTCCGCTTTCCAGGTAACAATAGTGACAGCTCCAACACCGGGCTAACTGCATTACTAGTGCTTAGACCCGCTCGGTGACACGCGACCGCCACCATGACAGCAGTCTGGGCCTGTAACTGGCCTAACCTGGACCCCAGAACAGTGACCACCCTCACCTGGACCCCAGAACGGTGACCATCCTCACCTGGATCCCAGACCAGTGACCACCCTCACCTGTACACCAGACCAGTAACCACCCTCACCTGGACCCTGGACCAGTGACCGCCCTCACCCGTACCCCAGACCAGTGACCACCCTCACCTGTACACCAGACCAGTGACCACCCTCACCTGTACACCAGACCAGTGACCACCCTCACCTGTACACCAGACCAGTGACCACCCTCACCTGTACACCAGGCAGGTCGCCGTACGGCTGCTCGCCGTATGAGTACATCTCCCAGAGCAGGACACCGAAGCTCCAGACGTCGCTGGCGGCGCTGAAGGTGCCGAAGTTGATGGCCTCCGGGGCGTACCTGGCCAGAGGGTCGGGCAGGTCACACCGAGCCGACACAGAGCGGCACCGCTTCGGTCCCAGCGGTGCTGCGCCCCCAGCCAGCCGCACACCGCCCTGGAAGGCTGTGCACCTCTTGTCCGCGAGACGTCGCGGCATGGCGCTGCAGCGCAGGCGCCACATGTTTGCTGTTTGCCGCCTTCACAGCCCGCTGAGATACCCTTGTCAGCGCGTAATAATAATTAATACCTATTGAGCGCTCCGGGAGACAAACTTCGCTTAAAAAGCGACTGGTGAGAGAACATATTTCTATCAGCTGTCAGTTGTAAGTCAACGACACGAACATGACGGACTTCCATTCCTACTGGGTGCTTGTTAAACATATCACAGCATTCAGAAAGCTGACAGATGTGCAGTATGCGAACCAGACAAGGCGAGAGCGTAATTTCGCGACTGTGGGAAATGACACCGAAATGAAAATCAGCTAACACGTCAATAAATATGTCAGAATGTGACATCAAGACACGGACCTCATGGCACGCAGGATTTCCCCGGTGGGCCGGGCGGCCGACATCCCCGCGCCTGCGCCTGCCGCAGCCCGACCCCCGAATCAGCCCGCACCCGCTGTCAGCTGCACCCGCCCCACACGAGCCTGAGGGCCGCCCCAGTGGACCGGGCAGCCGACGTTCCCGCGCCTGCGTCTGCCGCAGCACGACCCCGCCGCCCACGCACCACTTGATGGGCCAGCGCCCGCCCTGGGACGACTGGTAGTAGTCGCGGTCGCCGGCTAGGTGGCGCGAGAAGCCGAAGTCGCTGATCTTGGCCTGCGTGCGCGACGCCAGCAGGATGTTGCGTGCCGCCAGGTCGCGGTGTACCAGCCGCTGGTGCTCCAGGTAGTCCATGCCTGCCGGCGGCGCGCGCGGCGGCCGTCACCAGCGGGCGGCTGGCGCGGCGTCACCAGCCGCCTCCAGCCGGTGAGGTAGCGGGCGGGGTCAGCGACGCCCCGCATGATGGACGCTACACCGATGTGCCTCGCGTTCCGAACAGCGAAACACGACCACAACATGACAGCGAGATAGGACGCTCCAGTGGCATGCAGCTTCATTACATCGGTCTTTGAGAACATACCTAGTAATATCGACCCCACTGATATGCTGTTTTACTTTTTGTCAGGGCAGGCACACTTTTCGGATAAAAAATGCTCATAGCAGGTTCCAACCGTAAGGCCTTAAAATTCCGAACATTCCCCAGTTAAAACTATTGCTATATTGTGATCACCACGCTCCCTATTTATTCAAAAGCCGGCAAAACCACAGTGACACACACACAAAACCACAGTACAGCATTACCAACATATGCGACAATTTCGCACAATTGGTACAGTTATGTGTCTGAAACCCTGAACCTGTTCCCTGAGACCACGCCGCGCATGCTCGCTGGTGAATGGGACAGACCTGCGGCCACCTGGCCGGCCCACAGCTTCAGGTCCGTGTCGAGCGAGACGTCATGCGGCTGGTCCTGCAGGAAGTCCAGCAGCGCGCCCAGTGGTACGAGCTCCTGCACCTGCCGAACCACCGCCGGCCGCGCCACGGTGTCACAAGGTGACATTATACGGGAGTGTAACACGACTGGATGTATCAAATCACACGTTTTACGACAAACGCATTCAAACCTCCATTGAGAACGTACAGTCCGCTTTCAGCACGGCTAGACCTATCTATGCTACACTGTGATTGTGAAATATTGACACCCAATATGCGTTTGTGTGTGTCGCTTTACGACGCTCTCAGCTGCTGAAACTATATCATGCCACCTGCCTCACACCCTCGCAGAAAAGGCGGGCGCCGCGGGGAACAGAACCCCGTACCTCTAGTTTCCCAGACACGCAGGTTAACGGCTACATTATAGCCACCATCATCTCAGTTTGTGAGCACAGAAAACATCAATGACGGCCCATGAGCCTATTTCAACTATGAATACGTAACATGTCGCTGATTATCCTCAAATACCACTTCACACGCACACTCCTGACTTGTTTCAGGGATAGCTAAACATCGTGCATTTGTTGCGGCGTAATCTCTTCGAAAACGGCCTGGCTTGCCGAGCAACTACCCTGAAGCCGTCTTCGTGGGAACGCGTGTGTCTCGCACACAGCTGACCGCCAAGACGGCCCCGAGCCCTCACCATCATCAGCGGCTCGTGCTCGATCAGGCCGAGGAAGCGGACAATGCAGGGGTGGCGCAGGTCCTTCATCAGCTCAGCCTCCCGGATCAGCTGGTCACGGTCCACCCCCGACGACGCCTCCAGGTGCGTCTTGATCGCCACGTCCACCTGCCGGTCACCGAGCGCGGTCAGCAGTCGCTTCACATCCTGACTCTTGTTCTGGCACAGCAACGTGGGTGGGGGTGGGGGTGGGGATGGGGGTTAGGGGCCGGGTTGGTTGTCAGCCACCCAAGGGGAACTTAACTGAAAAGAAGGAAAGTTATCGTCTCTGGTCCGCCTGGTCCGAGGGCTCAGTACTCACGCGGTTCCCCGCGTGTCAAGCCAGCTTCCCTGGTCCGTCTGATCAGGGACTCGGTACTAGCGTGGTTTCCCCGCAGGTCGAGCCAGCGCCCCTGGTCCGTCTGGTCAGGGGCTCGATACTCACGTGGTTCCCCCGCGGGTAGAGCCAACGTCCCTGGTCCGTCCGGTCTGGGGGCTCAGTACTCATGTGGTTCCACCGCGATCGAGCTAACGCCCCTGGTCCGTCCGGTCAGGGGCTCGGTACTCACGTGGTTCCCCCGCGGGTCGAGCCAGCGCCCCTGATCCATCCGGTCTGGAGGCTCAGTACTCACGTGGCTCCCCCGCGGGTCGAGCCAGCGTCCCTGATCCACCTGGTCTGGAGGCTCGGTACTCACGTGGTTCCCCCGCGGGTCGAGCCAGCGCCCCTGGTAGACCTTGCCGAACTCGCCGCGCACTCACGTGGTTCCCCCGCGGGTCGAGCCAGCGCCCCTGGTCCGTCCGGTCTGGGTGCTCAGTACTCACGTGGTTCCCCCGCGGGTCGAGCCAGCGCCCCTGGTAGACCTTGCCGAACTCGCCGCCGCCGATGACGGCCCCGAACTCGAGATGCGCGGCGGCGATCGTGCCCGGCGTGGGCAGTCGGGGCAGCGGCAGCGGCGGCACCGCGCCCAGCACCTCCTGACGACCACAGCCAAAGCCCGTCAGCCGCACCGCGCCGGCACCCCGCAGGATGCAACCACCCCTGCGTGACCCAGGCCGTTCTCCGACGACCAGCGGGGTTGTCATAAGTGGCCCGGGCATCTCCGAAGAACAGCAAGATGATTACAAGAGTGGATCGAAGCACACGCAGTTGACTTTTCCGCGACGGCCCAAACCAATAAATTAGTGATTTCAAACAAGCACCCTGAGTAATAAGAGGAACAAGGCAACGAAATTACCCCAAAACGCCCGGACCATTTACGCGAGTAGCCGGATCACTCTCGCACGGCCACATCTCCCCAGATTGCGCCGACCACTCCCGCCACGACCCGATCACTCGGTCCGCATGCGACCCCGACTAATCCCTCCCGGGTGGGCCGGTCCACCCCGCCGGACGGCGCCTCGGCGTCGGGAAGCGCGCGCCGGCGGCGTACCCGGCGGCTGTCGGTGATGGCGCGCCGGGCGTCCTCGTCGCTGGGCAGCACCGGGTACGTGAGCCGGCACTGCAGCCCGTCCGGCAGCGTGCTGTAGTGCTCCACCAGGTGCTCCAACGAGTCCAGGTACGGGCCGTCGTCGATGTACACGTACCGCGACTGGCGGCGCGCCCGCCCCCGTCGTCAGCCCAGGTCAGCTCAGAGAGAAGGCGCTGGGAAGGCGCCGCAGCGCAGTCGGCCGTCGCACGCCGTGCGGTAGTGGCCAAGAGGGAACTGGATATTTTAAGGCGCGCCCAGCGTTAAAGGGAGGACACGGAGGAAAGCATATTGTAGGCACTCCGCCGCATCAGCACATACCTACATAGCTGACCGAACATAGCAATGACGCATGTGCCAAGTGACCAAATGAAATGACAAATGAGTGCCTTCGTTCTAACTTATGGGTAGCCTGCCTCTCATGCAGCGACGCAATAATTGTCGTGAAAAATGGCTCCATGATTTGCTTTGCAATAGACGCCAACACTTCAGTACTGCCGGATATACATGCCGAGCTTGAATCGGGTCGCAAAAAGCGTTGATCAATTTTGAGACATGTCGCGGTCCGGAACGACCAACTTCCTCATGTCAACTGAACAGCAAGGTTATCTCGTTTCCACAGCCTCTGGGGGTGGTGTGATCACCAGGCAGAACAATTGCGGACTCAACGGCGCCGGCTGCTTACTATCGTCGTATACCTGTATGACGTCATCATAAGCTACTGCGTGACGTCATCACGAACAGATGTGTGACGTCATCGTGCGCTAATATGACGTCATCATGCACCAGTGCGTGAGGTCATCATGAACCAGTGTCTGGCGTCATCATGAGTTAGTGTGTGACGTCATCATGAGCTGGCTCTACCCGATGGCGACGACGGCGCGCCGAGCGTGCCCGGTGGACGGGCGGCGCGCCCCCGGACGAGCGCTCACCCCGTCCTCGGCCTTAAACTCCTGGATCTCGAAGTGGTAGGCCTTGTCGTCCGAGACCATGCTCAACACCGTCTTGCCCTTGTTTCTGGTGCTGGTGCGCAGCAGGAAGTCGCCGCTGTTGAAGCCCCTGCGCGTCGAACATGACGGCGTCAGCTGACACAGCCCCCGAACAGCGGATGCCAACGAACGTGACGCGCCACGCAGCGGGGCAGCATGGCGACATCCACACCCCGGGCCGGAGGGGCATTCAGCAGACGTGATCTCCTGCCAGCCGTATTCGGCTACAGCAGCGCACAGGCAGCGCAGGGCCTGCTACGACACGTGCCCAGCCCGCGGCTGCCATCCGGCGCTTAAGGTCAAGACGGCGGAACCAATCAAACGGCACAAGCGCATTACTATTACAAGCCGGTCCCAAAGGTACCGCAAGTATTGCAGAACGCAGTACAGCGCGGAGTGCAACCGGAACTCCCAACGGGAACAACGCCTGAGAGCAAAGTACATTACCGCGATACTAGCTGCAGCATGGAGCAGAGCCCACACGAATAACCCATACCAGTAAAAGACGTATGGTGCGCCATAAGGCAACAGAGTTATGGACCCGCGCCAGCACACAGAGTCGTTGGTGTAGGTGCTGAAGCGGTACGTTCCCGGCCTTGAGTACTCGGTACATACCGTGCGCGTGGTGTGGGTACGTACCCGGCTCGGAGCCGCTGCTCGGCCTCGCCGCGAGACAGCTCGCCGTGCAGCCAGTCAGAGCGCATGCGCCGTGGCATCGGCGGCTTGTGCCGAACTTAAACGCAACCAAACCAAAACCCATGAGCTCGAGCGCAACCAAACAATGATGCCTGGACCGAAAAACAATGACAAAAAGTAAGATTCCGTTTTGTTCCACAGGTCAAGTTCTAATTCATTTCAACTACTCATGTTCCCCACCATAAAAACGTCACAAAAAAGTTGCGAAGCAGAAGATCCAGATGAATACGCACATCTATGAAAACTCACTTCGCTACGCAGGTAACCCAAAAACAAAACAGATCGAATAACTCATACAGTCGTTTCAAATAGTGGTGCCTCCTTCAGCGCGCCGAAATGCAGCCAGAAAATGTTTCACAACTAGATAGCAGTGCAACATTGCCGAAACGATAACCATCATTCCCTTTAATTAGATGAACGTCATGGGACGCTCACCAACGTGCACGCACAATGCCTCACACCAATACAAAATCCCCCCCCCCCCCCTCCGCCAGCCCAGTGATCCTGATTCTGACCCTGCCATCCCGGATGAACCAGGACCGCTGCCTTCCCCCCCCCCCCCCCCGCACCCCGTGATGAGCCGGGACCGCTGCCTCTCCCCTGACACCCCGTGATGAGCCGGGACCGCTGCCTCCCCCCGACACCCCGTGATGAGCCGGGACCGCTGCCTCCCCCCCCCCCCCTGACACCCCGTGGTGAGCCAGGACCGCCGCGCTGCCGTCGGTGGCCAGCGTCGGCCGGCGGTGCGGCTCGCTCACCGAGCAGCGCCGCGCAGTGGTGGTGTCCGGCGGCGCGCGCCAGGTCGGCCGGCGTGCGGTCGGCGCCGTCGCGCGGCCGGCTCGGCGCGTTCATGCCGAGCAGTGCCTTGAGCGCATCAGCGGCGCCGCTGTGTGCCGCCTCGTGCAGCGGCACCCAGCTGCGCTCGGAGGCGCGTGCCTGCAGGTTAGCGCCGCCATCGGCCAGCAGGCGCACCGCCTGGACGTCGTTGACGCGCGCCGCGTACTGCCGGGCAAGATGACGGTCACTGAGATGAGACTCCGGTGAAGGCAGTGCAGACGGCACGCGGCCGACTGGTCAACAAGCATGATACACATGCATTCAGAAGCCATCCGGCGACCAGAAATAGGACATGATACGCTCACAATCCACGCAGAAATGCAAGGCGAAACATAGCGCTATCGGCGTATACAGGTGGACACGCATAATGGGCGCGCTTTACCGTGGCAAAGACACGACCTGCAAGGAAAGGCCCTCCACAAACACAGACATACTCAACACCCAACCTGCCAAATAGCACCACAATTTCCAGGCCATTGGTTATATGCCAGCATCGTACCCCACTTATATTCCGCAAAAGCATTAGGGACGTCTACCTGGAACATCGAGTCGACTTCATCAAAGGGGGAAAGGTCAGTGCTGTCCCGGGGTCATGGGTCACCACCACCGCGCCGCGTCACGACGCCCGTTAGCCACTCACGTGGAGCGCGGTCAGGCCATGCGAGTCCCTGACGTTGACGCTGTCGGCGCCGCTGCCGGTCTGCAGCAGCAGCTGGACTATCTCGGAGCGCCCCGTGCGGGCCGCCAGGTGCAGCGCCGTCTGGCCCTGCACGTCCTTGCTGTTCTGCTGCGCGTAGCCCGACTTAAGCAGCTCGGTGACGATCTTCACGTCGCCTGGCGCGCGCCGCGTGCGGTCAGCAGTGCGGCAACACGTGCCAGCGGCTGGTGAGCTTCAGCTCACCGGCCGACAACACAGCCCAACACAACAGGTGGGACACCAGCAACAGCAGCACAACAACACAACAGGTGGGAGTGAGCACGCGGTACAGCGCAGCGTTTATGGTGAAACGGGCAAACAAACATGGGGACACATCAGTGATAACGTACACTAACACACCGCCGCGAGGTCCGGTGGGACGGGGCACGGCGGCGCGGGCCACCCACCTGCCTCGGTGGCGCGATGCAGCAGGGTCGAGGTGCCGTGCAAGGCGGGCCGCGGCCGGCGGCAGGGAGCCCCGGTGAAAGGCCCCCAGTCGCACGGCCAGGCCGTTGGCGTCGAAACTGTAGTGGTCCACCAGGGCATCCAGGCCGTGGATGAGGGGGCCTTCGTCTGAGGACGGCGGCGCAGACTGGTCAGATCGCGCGCAGCCATCGCGGCGTGCCGACCAGCGCCCTCGCAGAGCTACCTCACGATACCCGACGAGATCAGCGCGGAAATCTCAACAGAAACAGCCTCTACAACACTGAGTAGGCGAGGGAGTGGAACTTGGACCCAGCACACACCACCCACACATACCTGATCTTGTTGCAAAGTGCACAGAGTGTCAAGCACTGATGGAGTGGTCTGTCATGCACCAATGGAGTAGGGTATCACCCACTGATGGAGTAGAGTGCCACACATTGATGGAGCAGTGTCCTGCACTGATGGAGTAGTGTCACGCACCAATGGAGTAGAAGGCATCCTGTCCGTGCTGACGTATCTGGTAGTGAATAACTTCCCCATCGCACACCAATGACAGCACAAAGTCCCCAGGTGCAGATGTGCTGTCACGCACCAGGAAGTAGCCATCCTCTGGTGTTCCTAGTGAAAACAAGTACCACTGCATTGTCATCTGACACCCAGCTGAAACTGGTGCAACACACAGCATGGTGACCATGACATGGAGAGTATGTTTGTAATGACATGGTGTGTTGGCTGAAAGCTTAACATGTAGCCTTGGAGGCTGCCAAGGACCCTCAAAGTTGACAATACAGATGGCCAGTGCAGGTCTTTGTGGTTCTGGCAAGGGACTCACTGGTGTGGCTACATTGGTCACACCATCTACATATGAGCCCTCCTACATGGCTGAACATGCCCACAGGACAATCCAATTGACCACCATCCTATTTTTGTCCTAAAAAACTTCACACACCTTCTTTCAGCAAAGTTTCAGCTTCTGTCCTGGAAATTCCTTGTGAATACCAATGATAATTTTGTTGTTCAGATCCTGAAGAGTGCATTGCTTCCTCATTCTTTAATTACCATCACTGAAAAATCACAGGACCTGAAAAATCTGAAACATTCACATAATGGTGTCAATACCTTATCACAGCATGAAATTGCTTCCATAAGTTGTTGGGTATCACAAATAATCAAAATGACTAGTGAGTGACATGTTTTGACCAATGCTATAATTTTTTCTTGCACATTTTTTACTTCTCCATGGTAACATAATAGGGTTGCTGAAACTAGTGACATTAGAGAGTTGCAAGAAAAACTAGCTGGATTATACAACTATCACACAGAGGTCTAGCTACATGTCCAGCCCAACTTAAAAATGGGCTTTAACAGAGAAAAAAACTGTATAAATGCACAAAAGTAGTTTCAAAGATATTAGCTTCCAGAATATGTAACAACTAGGCTGGACAATGCTAGATAGAAATGCCTCCCAGTTCAAGTATGACATGACTACACCCTGCCCAGGGCATCACATATGTTCCTGCTCAGTAATATTGCTCAAATAACACATCTTGGCTTGCATGATAGTTTGCAAATCAAAAGGAACTTTTGCTAGTAAGTACTTATCCTTTATCATGTCAAATCAATATCAATGGCTGTCAGCAACACACATCTGTAAACCAACTAAATAACATGGTGAGCCTTTGTTTTAGAGTATCTCAACTTGAATCCTCACTGCAAGTGCCCACTATTCCAATGTTCCAATGCTTTTCCCACCTCAGCTTCATGGAATGTTCCTCCATCTAGTCAAGCAGAAACATGGGGATTAAGGGGTGCCAAATTTTAACACAGGAGGTACAGAGTCTTAGTGGGTGCTGCATTCCCTAAATACAGAAAAAGAATCCGAGTAGCCAGTGTCAGCAGACCACACACAGTTAGTACAGAAGAAATCCTATTCAACACAGAGAATATGGTCTATTCCTGTTTAAGGCTGATTGGGTATCATTTCACACCCAGACCCAGTATTTCTGGGACATGTCTCAGGGACACTCATCAATATGGTATCCATCCCAGAGGCACTCAGTAAACAAATATCACCTAACCTCCAACCAGCAACTTGATTTTAGAGGACACCCGCATGAAATGGCCCTGTTACCTTAGCAATTGCACAAAGTATCACGTGATCGTGTGATCATGACCATCTGATACAAATGAATGGCAATGGTAAAACCTTTTCTAAGTTACCCGTATCCAATCGCACGGCAAAGTGCAAACCGACCAACAAAAAACACCACTTGCTGACGCCCACAATAACCAATCCACCCGTACGTAGGTACTAGGTACAACAGCACGTGAACATGTTCAGCACAGGAAAAACAGTGACAAAACCTTATTGCAGGATGAAAATATTGCAGACCAACGACATCAAAACTACGCCAATAACGCACATGCACCACCCAGACGCGATATCGGTGACCTCTGCAACAACAGCAGAGGTAATTCCACCAGAGACGTGAAGTGATTCGGAGAATATTGAAGGAAATAAAGGTGGCAGTGAGTTCTTGTGCTGCCATTTTCCCGAGACCGACGCAGCAGTTCCGAAACCGACGAATGCCGCGAATAGAATCAAGCAAGGCCCTACACCAACGCAAAACACGGAATCAGCGTCGCGGACAGCGCTTACTTTGCCGAGTCCTGAAGCCGCAGGGCCCCATACGGCTGCTACAAGTATTCAAGAATGGTAACTCATATATGATACTGACAGCCATTGCATGCAATTTTCAAATGTAAAGCAGTTGAAATTTCAATAACAGTGCATCAAGGCGTGACGTGTGCGAAACATGAAGCTGATCGTCATATGCTGATTAGCTGTCGCTTAGAAGACTTGGCCGATTTTTTCACAAGGAGTGTGTAATGGTCCTTTTGAAAATCCATGGGAGTTGGTGGTCATGATGAATTATTAGGAATAGAACTGCTGCTCCCTTTTCTGATGTAAATGTTTTTTCAAGCAACTGTGATGTACAGTGGCAATGATTTTACAACTAAGCAGAATTGCACCACATTACCTGTGAAATGAGTTGTTTGTGATCTACACTAGAAGATTTCGTATATTTTAGTATGGAGTGATGTGGTGGTAACTGCTATTTCTGATGTAACAAGTGAACAAATTACTTGAAGCATGAGTGGTACTGAGCATGCATCATGCCTGTAGCTGTGCTGTATTTGGAAAATAAGTCAAAACAACCTCAATGTGATGTGGGAGCCAAATTGCATGCTGCTGTACTGAAATGGAATAGCCATATATCAGGTAAAGCATGGCATGTGCTTTAGTGTGCATGTGCCCACATACTAGTGTTCATAAAATTATCTGCTGCACCAGGTGTGGTGTAACGTTGATGCGCTGAATATTGTGCTCATGTGTCTTGAACTCAGGATAGACCAAACTGTACTGAATTTTCAAATAATTTTTGTAGAGCATGTTTGTGGATTAACTTGCCTGATGTTGCTTGCCTTTGTTGCATCATAATACCATGCCATTTTATCTCTCAGTGCATTGAAATTGGTGGTGACCATTCACCAATCTTTGAATATCAGATTCATGATAGAGTATGTCAAAATTCTTACCACCACCACAAATTCCTGATTAAGTTGCTGCTTGGCTTGACATGCTCTGCATAATATGTATTTTTGAAGTCTGGCTTCACACACCAGTCCAAACCATTCTCCTGGTGATGGTTTGGCTACCTTTTTAGACATTCATGATAACACTAAATGACAGTAAGACACCCTTTAAAATTGATGCACATGGGTGTTAGATATTTGATACTCAGTTACTACAGTGATGCTCAGCACAGACAAGCACAGTTTTATTGATCTAGTGATACACCTCACATTATGCTGACATTAAGGTATGTGTTCCTTCAAAGGGAAGTGTTTGGCTTAGGATCTAGCAGAGCGCAGTTCCAGAATGCATTTTGCAGGGTCATCACCTTGTGGTCATTCACTTGGGGATTGGGCAAATTTGGGTGTGGTTGTCACATTACATGTAGTTACATGGAGTGAATACAAGGTGCAAATGGCTCCAAAACAGGGGTAGTTTTGCAAATGGGTTGGGGCTGAACAATGAAAAATGACAAGGCATGCCTCTCAAAATATGCTGACAAATGGATTTTGCTCAGGTTGGGGGGGGGGGGGGGGGTAAACCCTCCTCCTAAAGGGATTGAAATTGGGATCCTGCCAGAATTATTGGGCTCCTATCAGTATCAACTCCTAACTATATCCCTGGCCTCAAGCTCCATGTTGCAATGATACATCATCTTTCCCAAATTGTTTATGGAGGACAGAAATATGCTGATGTATTGTGAAATGGTATGAAGGCCTGATGAAAAGGCTGAAAATGAAGCGATAATGAAACTAGACTGGTCAGTGGAAATGAGGCCATGGTCAGTTCAATGACCTGAAAGATCAGTTAGGCTGCGATGTAACGTGCTTTTGAATTTCCAAGTGCTGAGTTTTTGCCATCTGTGTGTGTAATGGTGAGCAATTCCAATCACTCCATTTTTACACTGGATGAATTATAGCTCCAGCACTCACGGTGGCAGCGTCATCCCTCCGTGCTGGAGTTCGCTTATGTTCTCAAAACATCCTTGTAGTCCGGCCTGCTCTGCTGCTTTTTTCGCCAAAGTATGGTGGTGTTTTCACTACTTTGCGCGTTTGTGAGCAATTACCGATGTCCACCTCTTATTGCGTAATTGATTGCAGGGATAACACTGAAATCGCCTCATCCTGTTCCCACTGGTGTTTTGAGTTGCATTGCTTCATATGTCTCCATGATACAACGCGGACATGTTATCACTTGCCCACAGATTTAGGGCAAGACGTCTGGATGATCCACTCTTTGGAACATCCCGTGGCGTATTTTAGTATGTCATTTGATGAATTCCAGGTACTTCATTATGTTCCTAGCCTTCAGCGGCACATCCTGCAGTATCGCATCTGTGCCGATTCCTGCCGACCACGCGGCCCAAATCCCGCAGTAAATAACCACCGCCATGTTGTAGCTGGCACTGCCGCTCACCATTCATGCACCGTTTTCAGCACGGAAGGCTACGGGTGAAGACAACAGAGCAGCAACAGGCTGAGAAGCTAGCTGAAAGGCAGAAGAAATTGGCCAAGTATAATGCGGGCACAGGCACTTCTTTTCAAAAAGGTACTTGGTGAAGGTTGGAATGGCGTACAGTGGTTTTCATCCAGCGCCGTAACTGGATCATGCTCGGTCAGGTGATCTCTCCAGGATAAAGCTGTGTTTCAGTTCTTAGCCTTCAGGGTCACATCCTGCAATATCGAATCTGTTCCGATTCTTGCCAACCACGCGGCCCAAATCCTGTGTGTACCGTGTGTCCCTTGGTATATCGTGTACGGAAATGATTGTGGATTGCTGCAAGTATATTTTCATTTAATTCAATTCCAGGAATTGTTGTAGCGTATATAATGATGCACAACTGGTTCTAACCCAACCCGCGTCAAGTCGTTCTTGCGAGCGCGCGTGTGTATTTTTTGGGGGAACGGAGACTGCAGTAGTCGTGTTGGCGCCAATATAAACTAGATGAGCTCTGACTGGGCGCTGTGGGCCACCTAGTTGCAACGCAAGATGGCCCAAGCAAGTCATCCGAGCAGTGGTGAGACGGTGTGCCGTTACAGCGAGAGGAGGGAGTGCACGATGAGGAGACGGCGCTCCAGCTGTCGCAGATCCTGGCTGTCAACCCCGACTTCTACACGCTCTGGAACTACCGCCGCGAAATCTTCCTCACCTGGCAGAAGGAAAAGTAGGCGGCTTCACGTGTGCGCATTTTATGCGTTGTGCGTCGCATAATTACGCTTTTTAGTGTTTATGTGGTTTATGCATTTTGTTAACTCCTTGAAAAGGTACATTTTCCAAAACACAATCAACAGATTTGCACGTTATTCACATTTGGTCTTGTTCTCCCGCAGAAGCGCCGAATACCTGCAGGATATGCTGAAGTCAGATCTGCAGTTTACCGAGCAATGTCTGGGCGTCAACCCCAAGTCGTACTGCGCCTGGCACCACCGGTGGGCTCCTGTTTGCGGGATCTGTCTGCGGGCTCCTGTCTGCAGGCTCTGTCTGCGGGCTCTGTCTGTGGGCTCTGACTGCGGGCTCCTGTCTGCAGGCTCTGTCTGCGTGCCGCACACTCGCCACCTCCTCTGCGCTTTTCGCCGCTCACGCTTGGCGATCAAAGATGGCCTGATGGCCTGCTGACCTGATGGCTTGATGACCTTATGACCGATGACGTGCCGTGCCCTCAAGAAAATGCGTTCTGCCTGGATTTTATGCCACAGGCTTGGTTCTGGGGAAGGCTCCATCCTCACCCAGCCGCGTAGCTTAGCGATCAGACTGGACGTAAACAAGCGGATGATGGCACATCCGAGGCTTGATCCTGTTGTGACGGGATGCGTGTGTGCGCGACGCTGCTGATGGCGTGGGTGGTGCTGCGGCGCTGCTGACGGAGGGGCTGTGGCTGCGGCCAGGTGCTGGGTGATGCAGATGATGCCCCGTCCGGACTGGGCGGCCGAGGTTCAGCTCTGCGACCGTTACCTGAAGCTGGACGGCAGGAACTGTGAGTAGGTCGCGGCCGGTGGCATTCCCTATTGTCAAGTGTATCGGTTTACACTACACTGACTGAGATAACGATTATGAAGGAAGCGTGACAGGAAGACGTTTGAAGCGCACCATGAATGACAATAATGGAAAGTTACTGAATGCCTACCCCAGTTATCTGCTTGGCTGCCCTAAAATGTCCCTGCTGCAGTGTTGTAATGTAAGTACCTCTTGAGATATGTTGTGAACGAATTGATATAAGGGTGCCATTGATGAAAACAATGGACAGCGTACGTGAACTTTGCTAGGCATGATTTCGCTACGGATTGACGAGAATTATTTGCGTTTCGGACGCCATATGTTACAATACGTACGAGCCAAAAGATGTGAAGGCTGTAATAAACCAGGGAGAGCTATAAGACACGCTGTAGGATACAGACATAGCAGTCGTTACTCGGCCGCGAACAGCTGCTGCGCGCCTGACCCGCGCGCCGGCCGTCGGCAGTCCACTGCTGGGACTACCGTCGGCTGGCGGTGGCCGGCGCCGGCCTGGCGCCGGAGCAGGAGCTGGCCGCCACCGACCGGCTGATCGCCGACAACTTCTCCAACTACTCCTCCTGGCACTACCGCTCCCACCTGCTGACCCAGGTGTTCCCCGCGGCCGATACGGCCACGCCCATCCGCGAGGACAAGTACCTGAAGGGTGAGTAGGGTTGGCGAGCTCGCGCCGTCGGGGCCGGGGGTAGGCGCTCAGCGTGTGCCTCGTCGAAAATCTCAGTAGCTCCCCAGCCCTGTGTGGTGCATGCCTCACGGCTGATAAAACCGTGCCTGTGTCGCATCCTGACAATGTAGATTTAAGCTCCCCGCTGACATTGACATTGTCGACATTGTGTGACGCCCTAGGTCTGTGATTGTGTCGTGCTGCGGTGTTTGATGGCGCCCCCACGGCGTCGACGCCAGCTGCGGGCGTCACGCGGCGCCACCGTTTGCTCGCAGAGCTGGAGCTGGTGCAGAGCGCGGCCTTCACCGACCCGGACGACCAGGCCGCCTGGTTCTACCACCGCTGGCTGCTGCAGGACCGCCGTCCGGCGGCCAACATCGTAACCTGCACCGCGCTGCCCGGCGGACAGATGGCGCGCGTGGCGGTGGCTCTGGCCAAGGCGTGCCGGCCCCGTGACGTGCAGCTGAGGCTGCTGACCGACCAGGACCCGGTCACCGACTGGCTGTCGCCCAGCGGCGAGGAGTTCGACACCGTCTGGGTGGGTGGCGACTCCAACTCTCCTGTGGGTTCGCGTTCTGGCTTTGGCGTCACAGAAAGCAGAAAGAAATCTTCTCAGGACACCTCAAGTCAGCTTGTATTGTCTGCTGTTCCCGTTTTACGCGCCATTTAGATTCGTTTAATGTGACCTAGTTGATCTGAGTGTCCCATGTTTCCTTGCTTAGCCGTAGTTGCGTCAGCCAGGCCGCCGTGCCCTAGCGCGGCTCCGGCGCGGCGCTCCCGCCCGAGACAACCAGCTGACTCCGTGGGGCCGACCGTCGCCAGGTGGCTCAGGTGCCGGCCAATCACGGGCCGCTGGCGGTGGTTATGACGTCACCCTCCGGCTCGGAGGAGCGTATGGAGGTGGGAGCGGCGGCGGCGGCGGGCCGCTTCAGCAGCGACACCAGCGCCACCACCGGCAGCGTGCTCAACCAGGAGCTGGAGAACATCTGGCAGCTGGGCGAAATGGAGCCGGATAATAAGTGTACGGGGGGACGCACGAGAGACCCCAGCCGATCACGTCAAGTCGGGCTGCTGCGATCCGATTCAGTCTGCGATGTGGCGTTGCGTCCTGCCCGAGTTCGTGCGGCTGCCTGATTCACTGGATGCTGATTTGCTCGCCGTGATTATTTAACCCGCTCCCTGTCATCCCGCGATCCTGCACCATTTGCTCTGTCAGTGGCAACTGCCATGCGTGGAACCTGCCATCGTTGCCAGCTCGACCTGGCCGTATGAGAGTGTGCCGGGGTTCAATGTGCCCGTATTTGAGGCGCCGGGTCGTGTTCCCGGGAGGGGGAGGGGGGATTAACAGTCCCCGGCGTCCGCTGCGGCGGCTGAGTCGGCGGTGACTGCCGATATGTCACGGTGTCATGGTGTCACGGTGTCACGGGACGCCAGCTCGCAGTTCTCGCATCCATCCGCCAGCGCTGCTTGGCACGTGAGCACGACGCTGATGTCCCAATTGTCGTGTCTTCTCCAGGAGTGCTGCTCAGCAGTGTCGTGCTCGTGTGAGCCCCAGTGACGTCACAGTCCTCGTGTCTGTCTTCCAGGGGTGCTGCCCAGCAGTGTCGTGCTCATGTGAGCTCCGGTGACGTGACAGTTCTCGTGTCTTTCCCCCAGGGGTGCTGCTCAGCAGCGTAGTGCTCATGTGGGCCCTGGATCCGCTCCAACACGAGGAGAAGATACTGGAAGCCATCGACCAGCTGATGAAGCTAGACTCCCTCCGCCTAGGATACTACCGAGATCTGCGTAAGAACTGTCCCAGTCACTGTTCCGACACATTGCTGGCGGCTTGGTTGGGCACGCTGTGTGTTTTTCCTTGTCGATTGCTCCACCTTATCAATGATTATTCATCGTCCATATTGTGATTTGAGTGGGCGACGATTCATAACAAATCACGTGCTTACAATATGTTGACGTCGCTGCGACTCACTGGGCCGCTGTCATTCTCAGGCAGCCGATTTGTCATCGAGAGGAAGATCGAGGCCGCCCAGGAGTCAAACTCAACGCACCTCTGCCTCTCGTCCTGCCACCTGACGACGATCTGCCACACCAACCACCTGGTGACCGTGCGGACGTTAGACGCGAGCGACAACGGACTGCGCTGGCTGGACCTGCGTCACCTGCTCTCGGCCGAGGAGGTGACGGCCTCTGGTAACCGCCTGGGAGAGGTGCTGCTGCCGGCCGGCCCGCTTTGCCGCCTGAGGCGGCTGGTGCTGGACGGCAACGACATAGGTCAGGTCGGCGACCTCGTGGGGGAGGCAAACAGTCTGGAGGAGGTCAGCCTGCGTGGAAACCCCTGTCTGCGATGTCCCGGGGTGGAGAGAGCAGCTGCTGGAACGGTTTCCGGGACTGAAGAGTGTTAACGGTGAGCCCGTCTGAAGGCAAACTACGGACATCCGTAAGGCATGGCTGGAGAAGGTATCGTGCGTGATGGCCTTCTAAGAATGGGGTGCTAGATCAAGGCATTAATTTAGATGTGGTTTATGTGCCGCTGATTTTGGGAGTCGAGCGATGCGTGTCCTGTGTTCGTCAGCTATGAGCCGTATCTTCAGCGTGTACCATGGACGACCGGTGTGTACCGGGTGCGAGCGGACATTGGTGTAGTGGAGTCACTCGGCAGGCTTGGACCGATCGTGTGCTTCCTTTTTCCAACCGCCGATCGCGGAATACTTCGTGTTTAAGCTAAGCGTCTAGCTATCGCTGTAGCTTTTTGGTGGACATTGGGAGCTGGTGAATGATTGTGTTGTGTTTCGCAGGCTTGCGTATTGCGGAGGCCTTCATATTCCTGCGTATCAGCGTTCATTTTCTATGTAATGGTATCGTGTGATATGCACTCAGTGTTACGTTCTTGGTGCAGTTATTCTCAATACATACACGCTAATTGTATCTAATACAATGCGCGCTGATGCAGACAATGGGCGCTGGCTGGCACGGGAATCAGAACTTGCGATTCAGGCCTGCGCATTAGAGCTCCGTCTGAGCGTGAAATGCCGTCTGGAAATGCCGCAAGCGTCTGGTCTGTCGCGGCTTCGCATGAAAAAATGTTAAGTTTCGGCTCCTGGAGCTGTGCCGATTGTTTCGCATCGTGAAGGGTGTGTTTACTAGGGCGGGAAAACGGACCAAAAACGCTTGGAGAGTCCCAGCTGCGGCAGACAAAGCGATTCGGAGCTGCGTTTGTGCGAGTTGGGTGAAGCTTCATTCGATTTAATATACAAGGTCTACGAATCAAATGACATGAACATGAGGCGAGCAAAACATTTAGACCGACCTTTCTCTAATCGTAATTATAGACTATTTACTACATCTTGCCTTGGCCTTAAGCTGTCGAACGGCATTAGTTTCACATTTTCCAGGACTAGGTGATATCTCTGCATCAAAGACTATTGTTAAGAACATCATTCGCAAGCATTTCGTGAATGCATATTAACGTAACCAACATATTTGAACATGTTGCAATCCTTTGCGCCGCATATATGCGATGCACTTCATATTTAACCTTCATGTTCCATAATCACCTGATATAGTTGAAGTCATGCACATAAACCCAAATTCACGGCGCTGGCTACGGGAGTTCTTCCATCAACAAGCTCCGCTCGGCTGGATGGACTCCCTGGACATCCAGCTCAAAACCCAGCACGAAAATGACCAGGTAATTGCCCCTCCGACTTGTGTGACTGTACAACCATCACACTGTGAATGAGAGGTTGCAGCTTATTGGGCGGTTATAGCGGGCCGTCATTAGCTGACTTTGGCTGATCACTACTTTAAGCCTTCTCATGTATGATTTTTCCTTGCCCATCACATAGCACAATTCCTTCGGGTCTGCACCACTTCTTTGCCTGCTTCTTTACGTTTGTTTTCTCTTCCTGGCTGGGAGTGCCGCGCCTTGATTTTATGTTTTCTGGTGTTAACGTACGGTTTATTGCGTCGCTGGGATTGGGGAGGGGCACTCCTGGTTACCCGTTCTTGGGTAACGGCATAGAAAAAGCTCGCGCAACAGTCATGATGAAGCGTGCCTTGTGTGTTTCAATCAAAACGGCTGTAAAAAATAGCCCGAGACATCAGACTGCTTATTGATCCCCGAAGCACCACATATTTTATTGCATTTGTGGTGTTCTCCACAGTGCTAGGAGCGTTCTGGAACTGCCCTCATTCTGTATGTCTGACATGCGTAAACTACCTATGCGCATGCAATCCCATCTTATAATTGCACTTCGGTATACGACTGATCTCATTTTCGTTCTGACCTCGTCAGGGAACTCAGCCTGCAGGTATCATTACGTGGCCGCACGAACATGCGTCTCGGAAAGCCCATACCACAGCCCAGCCCATTCGCGAGTGCGCCAGGATAGGAAAGGCAATAGCAATGGCTGCACTATTTGATAAGGGGCTCGGTGATAAATCCGCTGTCGTCCATCTAGACCCGGTCGTCGTCTTTTGTGAGGCCTAAGGCGTCCCAATACTCCTTCTCTGCTATGCCCTCCCAGTGGCAGACATCGGGGTTGAGTGCCGCGAACCTGCCAAACGAAGGCAGAACACGACAGTGCAGTGAGCGAACCCAGGGGGAGGAACAGAGTCAGGCGCCGTGTACCGGTCCGATGACGCTTCATACTGCCTTGGTGACGGGCATGACCTGAGCCCGCATGATTGAAGCCGTTCGGAACCCTCCCAAAGTCATATGGCTACAGCGGAGGTTCCTAGCCAGACACGCCATCAGCACAGCCACGTACAACGCACCCAATGAACAGCCTTGTCACAGCTGTTGGCCCCTAACAGCCGGTGGGGAATGTAGACGGGATAGAAATGCTTTTAGGACGGCTATTAGAAATTTACATGTGAAAAGTATTGTCGTGCCTAAGAGGCACGAGAAAGTCAGCCCTAGAAAATGCGCGCATTTAACAGATGAACACCAGATGAGCATAAGGCTCTCCTAACAACACGTTTCCCTCTTTCCTTATCTCCCCCTGAAAACAGCCTTAGAAGCCAGTGTTCGTAAGCCGCTCTCCTTTGTTTCCCCCTTCAAATTGTTTTCCGATCCGGCCGCGGTGGCAGAAGCCGGCGCGCCGGGTCGCAGCCGCTGCCGCCGGGGTCTCACCTGGCTCTGATCTCGTCAGAGCACCGCCGCTCGAGGTCGGTCAAGCGGCGGTCAACCTGAGCCAGGTTCTCCCGCACGATCTCCGGCGTCATCATCGACGTCAGGCAGGTGGCGCCGCCTGGCTCCGTCAGCACGAAGTTCACCGCCAGGCGCGCGATGTTGACGCCGCGCTCCTGCCGACCGGGGGCGACACGCGTCAGGCTGGCGGGACCGCGGCAGCCGGCGCATCACAAGGACCAGCGGCGAACGAGCGCGGCGCGACTACTCACTGCGGTGCGAAACACGTCCGGTTCGCAGCCTTCCTCGGGTGATCTGTGAGGGCGGCAGTGAAAATACCGCCCGCAAGGGAGGGATGACGCGGGGTCATCGGCAAGGGACACGGAATGACGCGCAGAGCCTCTGCTGTCAGGCGTCCAGTTCTCCTCTCCTGACAGAGCTGACGGACCCTGACCCCAGCCTTCTTGGTCTGGAGAGACCAGGACCTGATCTTGACAGGTCAGGCCCTGATCTGGCGTCCTGATTCCAGCCTTCTCACCTGGTAGCGCTGGCGTCCCTGATCCCAGCCTCGTCACCTGACAGAGCTGGCGTCCCTGATCCCAGCCCCCTCATTTGGCAGACTTGGCATCCCTGATCCCAGCCTCGTCACCTGACAGAGCTGGTGTCCCTGATACCAGCCTCGTCACCTGACAGAGCTGGCATCCCTGATCCCAGCCTCGTCACCTGACAGAGCTGGTGTCCCTGATACCAGCCTCGTCACCTGACAGAGCTGGTGTCCCTGATCCCAGCCTCGTCACCTGACAGAGCTGGCGTCCCTGATCCCAGCCTCCTCACCTGACACAGCTGGCATCCCTGATCCCAGCCTCGTCACCTGACAGAGCTGGTGTCCCTGATCCCAGCCTCGTCACCTGGCAGACCTGGCATCCCTGATCCCAGCCTCGTCACCTGACAGAGCTGGCGTCCCTGATCCCAGCCTCCTCACCTGACAGAGCTGGCATCCCTGATCCCAGCCTCCTCACCTGACAGAGCTGGCGTCCCTGATCCCAGCCTCCTCACCTGACAGAGCTGGCGTCCCTGATCCCAGCCTCCTCACCTGACAGAGCTGGCGTCCCTGATCCCAGCCTCCTCACCTGACAGAGCTGGCGTCCCTGATCCCAGCCTCCTCACCTGACAGAGCTGGCGTCCCTGATCCTAGCCTCGTCACCTGACAGAGCTGGCGTCCCTGATCCCAGCCTCCTCACCTGACAGAGCTGGCGTCCCTGATCCCAGCCTCCTCACCTGACAGAGCTGGCGTCCCTGATCCCAGCCTCCTCACCTGACAGACCTGGCGTCCCTGATCCCAGCCTCCTCACCTGACAGAGCTGGCGTCCCTGATCCCAGCCTCCTCACCTGACAGAGCTGGCGTCCCTGATCCCAGCCTCCTCACCTGACAGAGCTGGCGGGCCCGCTCGGCCGTGCGGAGGACCTCCGGTGTGCCCGTGTGCCAGTCCGGCGGCCCCTGCGGGCAGAACAGGCCCATGCAGGTGGCGGCCGCGTCTATGACGCCCACGCCGGCCGCCTGCAGACGCGGCAGCACCCGCTGCAGAGCCGTGTCGTGCAGGTTGTTGCGGCTGTAGGAGAGCACCGTGTCGACGCGCACGGTGGAGCGGTCCAGCACGTCCAACAGCGCGCCCAGGTGGTAGCCGGTGATGCCGAGGTAGCGAGTCAGGCCGCGCGCGCGCACCTCATGCAGCGCAGGCAGCGTCTCGTTCAGGATGGTGGCGCGGCGCGGACAGAACTCTAGGTCATGCACCTGCCAGCGAGGAGGCTTGGGAGTTAGCAGGCGTGTGTCTACAACGTTACAGGTCCACTGTAGGTCAACAAAACGGGGCGCGGACAGAACTCTAGGTCATGCACCTGCCAGCGAGGTGGTTTGGGATTTAGCAGGCGTGTGTCTACAACGTTACAGGTCCACTGTAGGTCAACAAAAGGGACAGAGACCAGGCGAGAACTACAATACGTGTCGGATAGGCGTGTCCTATTTGATCGAAGAGACATCAGAATCACTGAAAATCCGTAATTTCATGCACAGCTAATTATCAATGACCGGAAACGCAGCCGGACCGGCCAGAAACCGCGATGGCCTCCTGACCCAGCTCCCATGCGAAAGTCGTCCAATACCTCTCTCGCCTCCCGTCGTCCGCATCACGTCACGCCCATCAAGCCGTCCGGTTGGCGATGACAGCCCGTCGCTGGCTGATGAGCCGGCAATGGGGTCGCCACGCGTGCATGGGCCGGCGGCCGGTGTTTGTACCGACCTGGAGGACGTCAACAGACGGAAGTCCCAACAGCTGGAGGCTGTTCTCCACGCTCTTCAGCACCCGCTGGCCGGAGAAGTCGAACATGTGCTCGTAGTCCTTGTCGTATCTCCCAACCTTGGTGGCTATGTAGTACGCTTTTCTAGGAACGCCTTTTAACATCTGAATGGGAGGAATAGAAGCGTCTGTGGCAAAACAAAAAAACATGCACCTTTTTTCCAATGTCGGGAAAATATAACCGTCCAGTCACCATCGCGCTTAATACCTATCTCCAAATAAGTCTTAGCAAACAACAGTGGGCCCAAACAACAAACAAAAGCTAATTGAATTCGCTCCGTCTGGAAACGTGATCAATGCTGATTCAAGGAATGATATCGTGATCACGACATATACAATCACATTTTACTGTTCCAACGGACAACAGTCAGTACAGGCCTCAACCCGCGTGTAGGATAAACTCTGGCGATTTGCTCCAATAATTACCGTCATCGGTATTGTGTGATAACCGATGCGTCACATTGGTGCCATGCATGTCCTCATATCCCCAACGCATGTTGGGAAAATGAGGGCGCCGCTACACCGTTGATAACAGGATGCATCAGTCAAACTGCACCATGTAGTCAGGCACCCACTTGAGGTGAATGTCGGAATGAATTCTCATAAACAGCCATGCCGCCTGTTTTTTTTCTACGCCGTTACCCAAGAACAGGTAACCAGGAGTGCCCCCCCCCCCCCCCTCAATCCCAGCGACGCAGTAAACCGTACGTTAACACCAGAAAACATAAAATCAAGTCGCGGCACTCCCAGCTAGGAAGATGAAACAAACTTAAAAAAAAAAACAGGCGAGGAGGTGGAGCAGACCCGAGGGAATTGTGTTATGTGAGAGGGAGGGAAAAATCATAGACGAAAAGGCTTAAAGTAGTCATTAGCCAAAATCAGCTAATGACAGCCCGCTACAACCGCCCAATAATCTACAACCACTCAATTCCCGGTGTTAGTAAGGGTTATACAGTCACAAGTCGGAGGGGGCAATTACCTGGTCATTTTTGTGCTGGGTTTTGGGCTGGATTTCCAAGTAGTCCACCCAGCTAAGCAGAGCTTGTTGCTGGGAGAACTCCCGGAGCCAGCGCCATTAATTTGGGTATATGTGCATGACTTTATATCAGAAATTGATTATGAAACATGAAGGAGGTCAAATATGAAGTGCGTTGGATATGTACAGCACAAGGATGGCAATGTCTTCAAATATGTTTGTTACGTTAATATGTGTTCACGAAATGCTTGCGGATGATGTTCTTAACGATGGTTTTCGATACAGGGATATCAGCTATTCTTGGAAAATATGGAACCATAATGTCGTACCACAGCTTAGGGCCAAGGCAGGATGCTGTAAATAGTCTATAATTACGATAAGAGAAAGGTTGTTCTAAATGTTTTGCTCGCCTCATATCCATGTCATTGGATTCGTAGGGACTGTAAATTAAATCGAATGATGCAGGGAGCTGTGAAGTTAAAAATTTGTGCATCACAATTAACATTTGAGATTTAGCAATATCCGATAGTTTCAAAATTTTGTATCGTTTAAAGATTGGCTCTATCTTGGCTGTTACTACGCAGGTGCCCAAAAAGTCGCCGCTGGTAAAGATTCACGATGTATCCAGCTTCTGAGGCTATATGGCGTCGCCTACGTCAGCAATCTCCTATATATCACACTCTATTCATATTCATATCACGTCTATTTAATTTATATCACAATCTATTTCGGCGACTGGCTGCATGTCTGGTAAGCCAGTGGTACGAAGTTCGATTCTTTGCGGTGCCCGCCCTCCCTGCCAGGGTGATTGATATCGCACGCATGAAAAACTTTACCATTTTACCTGTTACTTGCATCTGGCGCCGAGAGCAGACTAAGCGTTGCATTACCTAAAAATTAGGCGAAAACGATAAATGCAAATCGCTTTTTCTGCTGCCGCTGACACGTCGCCGTCCTACTTTCACATCGTAGTTGAGGTGTTGGCCTTACGGCGGTAACATCCGGGCGCGTATATGCATGACATGTCAGCTGTAGGAATTAAATCGTCGTAAAGGTAAGCGGCGCAACGTGCTTTTCTCAGTTTGATACCACAGGCTTTAGCTCGATTCAGGCGTGCATTTGGTCCCCCTCTTCACATAACCAACCCATCAAACTCGTGCAATATGCATCACATGTCCAAATGCTCCAGCATCGGGCTGTGTTTAATTTGCACGTGGTCCCGGCAATACGTGTACGCGCATATCCCGACTACGAACGCGCAAGCGATGGTGAGATAGGTGCTGGCAGCATGGAGACAGAGAGGCAAGATCTTCAAATGCCACTTAAATTGTCCTGAACTTTTGAGAGGAAAATGCATGCCATGGAGAGGAGCATGTGCTTACTAACACAATCTAACCTGCGTTTGCCCACATTCTAACGGATCCTTAACCGTTGCGCGTTCAGGTCCGACATCGCCACCCCCGCCGCCCGCAGCGCAGGAGCTATGCAGCCGTGACCTGCGCGCCGGCCGCGGGCGGGGCTGCTGACCTGGCCGAGCGTGCGCTCGCTGCGTCCCTGGCCGTACCAGGGCGCCGTGTCGATGTAGTTGACACCGCTGCGCAGCGCGAGCAGCAGCGCGGCGCGCGCCGCCTCCCAGTCGTAGGCTTCGTAGCAGAGGCCCAGTCCCGAGGCGCCGTAGCCGAGCTTTGAGACCATCAGGTCTGCGGCACGTGCAACGCGGTCACAGGCGCCGGCGGCGGACGCGGCGCCGCCCGCGTCAGACCGGTGTCGAGACAGCCGCCGATGAAGACGTTCGTAACGAAACGGGGCCAATACTGTGAGAGAAGCAATGTGCTGTCCGAAGGCGCTTGTTGCTACCCCCACTGCGACTCGGCAACAGTGCGCACTTCACCCTACACCACCAGCTGACTGCCCGTCTGATGTTACTCTCACCTGTGTTTCCCAGCCGGGTGTATTTCATTCTTTTGACGGCGTCCAGGTCGTGGAACCCCTCCACGTAGGTCGGTGGAAGGTCGCCCGGCTCCATGGCGGGAGAAAATGCTAGAAAAAAGCACGTGGTAGATCAGGCACGGGCCCGTCTGGCCTCCCTGCAAACGCTGGCGATATTGAAATGACTGTTCCACACTTGAATGGAGTTTCTAACTGAAATAACCAGTTTCAAGACCATTCTCTGCAATTCAAAGTCAAGCCCCTTTGAAGACTTCAAATCCTCTCGCTTCTGACGCGCGCGAACTTGTGCGGCCTATCTCGCGCCGCCCGTTTTATAGTCACCCAAACACATATGACGCCATAGAAACGTCAAAGCCTCACCTCATTTGTCATATTGTGCCCATGGTCAAGACAAATATGGCCACTGTAACATTCGCGTCGACTACGCCAGCACGAGGTGTCAACGATGAAAGGCAATCGGTTAACAGCCAGTTTAATACGCGCCCGGTTGGCCGGTTGAAGACTACGTGTTCAGGAAGGGTCAATTTCTTCTAAGATCGAAAAAATAAGAAAGTTAGATATATCAAATTTACAGGGTGTGTTGGCCTATACGTGAACTCACTCGCGTCAAAATCTGACGTTCCTAGGTCGTGACCTATGGTCAAATAGGATAAAAAAGGTAAAACCCCAGATTGGTGTCCAAAGTGCCGCGAGTCTCCTCGTAAAACCGCCTTGTACCTAGATACCTGTTTTAAGATCACTGGTGTTCTTTTTTTGGTCGATGACCTTGTTTGGCATTTAGATGGTCATGGTTACCAGAAGCTACGAGATCGTTTCAATTGTTTTAATCAACGTCAAGGATTACGTGAGGCGGTATGCTGATAACAAACATTAGGTCTATCTGGGTCATATTAGGTCAGTGACCTACTCGAACCTTTAACAAGTCCATGGCAGATATTTATTGCGGTCCCCATGATAAAAAACATGAAATGAACAAAGCAAATTACCTCCTTAAAAGAGACTTCCAAGTAAAATGTAGGTTGGTTTTCACTTCGGTCTAACCTTTATACCTGACCCAGGGTCAATGGAATTGATCGTAATCCCAATTCAGAGTCTCATTGTCAAAAACAAATTTTCTCAGAGATGAGACAGTTTTGCTAGCTCGCCGCCTTTCGCAGGTGGTGGCCATGTCGCGCTCGTACGAGGACGCCATGGAGACGCCGCCGTTCCACTTCTGAGGAGACCTCCGCCGACCGCGCCCCCGCCAGCCACTCTGCCTCCCCGCCACGCGTGCACCGGACGGCCGAGCACACGCACTGAAGCCGGGCCCGGGCCGGACGCGGCCCGTCGGCTGCAGCGGCCGAGCTGGCGGCTCGGCCCGTCCCGGTCCGGCCGGGCATAACTCCCTGCAAAGGGGCCTCAACGCGCTGAGGCCCCGCTGCAGCCGTCGGTTCGTGTCGGGTGCGCCGCCAAGCGGGCCCCCAGAGACCGCCGGCCCGGCCAGATCTTCCGCAGTACAAACGGCGCAGATCAGACAGGCGACGGAGATGTGTTGGTGTAGTCGTCTTGGAGAACGCCGCCGGCCACAGCCACCCGTATTGCTGCCACATATCACGAGTCTTGTCTTGTTCAGCTCCTTGGCTTCCGTGGACTAAGTGCCGATTTTGAATGCACCGTTGAATGCCGTCGGTGCTGAATGGTGTTTTTATTTGGTGTACGCTGCCCTTTGTTAACACGCGCTCGGGTAGGAGTGGGGTTGGGGTCAAATTGACCCCCCGAAGGTTTTTCCAGAATGGTTTCCGAACGGCGCGGCGTAGCCACGCCAAATTTTGCATTCTGTAGACAACTGGATAGCGGATTGTTTGGCATCAAAAATGTAAATGTACCTTGTAAGGTCACTGACCTATGGCAGGTTAAAGTCAGACCATGGTTACAGCGAAGGCGATGTCTAGGGAATCCTTCAATCTGATTCAACAACGAAGTGTTAGACGAAGCCATACATCTCTGAGATACTTTCTTAGGCAGCGGTCAGGATAGGTCAATGACCTAAAATGACCCAGGTCAACATTTTGTTTTAGGAACATATTGCCTAGCGTAATCTTTGTCGCTTAGTCAAATGCAAAACTCAAAGCAATCTTGTGTGATTTTGGTCACCTTGACCTTCAAAAGGTCAAGAAAGGTCACTGACCTGTATGGTAATTTGAACTTGGCCTAGAAAAATATCTCGGTTCTGGGGGCATTTTGGAGACCAACCTGGAACTTGACCTTGTTTGACTTTTTTAACCGAAGGTCATGACCTAGGAACCTGAAACTTTAACCCGAGTGATTTCACGTAAAGGTCAACACACCCTGTCAATTTGGCGTCTCTAGCTCTCTTAGTTCGGAGATTTCAGGGGGTCAAATTGACCCCTTCACCCGCGCGAAGGGTATCTAGGCGGCCACCCGGGCGCGTGTTAAGGAAAGCATCGATTTCTACATTAAAACCTTTGTCTCCGTCCGATGAAATATCTCGGGTAATTTCTTGTACTTTGTGTAGTGTCTATGTATCGTTGAAATGAAAATCATTCACATTTCCCCGTAGTCCATACCCTCCCGGGCTACCATATGAAATGGGCCCCTGTTGACCTTGGAATAATAAACAACTTACCCACCGACAGTTACCGCGCGTTTTATGGTTCGCACCGAACCAGACCCTGCGCGAGCTGATCCAGCTCCATAAACACCACAGTTTGGGGCGGCTCGATGAATGCGTGCGTGTATTAATGGGCTTTGTCTTTTTATTTATATTACATCATCCAGAACCAAGCGCTGAGCAAGCGCACGGTTTATGTGATGTTCCAGGCCGTGTGACGATTGTTGGGGATGAGCTTCGCCTGATCTATCGCTGGATCACCACCGTGATATGGGCCGTAGGATATTGCGACTGGTGACCGAAGGTATTTTTGTAAGTGCGGTTGTCTGACGGCGGGTAGTGCGTGCTTCGGCGCAGGGAGCTAGAATCGCTTTTGAACTAGGGTGGGAGTGAAAAATTCCATCGCAAAAAGACCGTGCGGGAGTGAAAAAATCCGTTCACAAAAGACGGAACTTACGAGCTCGTGACGGATGCTTCAGCAAACAAAGACATCTATTTCATGTTCGCATGGACGTAATATCAGAAACCTGACAAAACTATTTCGTTTTTTAACATCTTAGGTCACTAAAGTGAGACAGAATATATTAACGCGCGATCGGGTGGGGTGGGGGCAAATTTACCCCCACCCCCTCTGAGGGCTTTTTCCGAATGGTTTTTGAACAGCGCGGCACAGCCGCGCCACATTTTGCATAGCTGTGGAAAATTGCATAGCAGATCGTTTGACACACCAATTTTAGATGTACCTTGTAACGTCGCTGACCTATGACAGGTCAAAGTCAGCCCATGGTTTCAGCGAAGGCAATTTCTAGGGAAGCGTTCAATCTGATACAACAACGGAGCGTTTGACGAGGACATAAACATCTGAGATGCTTTCTTAGGCACCGCAAATATTAAATGAGCAAATTACGTTGACCTAAGGTCAGGCATGATGCTCAGACCAAGGTCAAAACCAACCTGATTTATACTCCAGGGGTTGCTGTATGGGATAGTTTCTGATGCTCATTTCGAATTTATTGACAGCAGGAACCGCATTATACATTTTCAATTGACTTCTTAGAGGTCAGAATAGGCCATTGACCTAAGACGACCCGGGTCGAACATTTTGTTTTTGGAACATACTGGCCAAGCGTAATCTGTCACTTATTCAAATGAAAATGCAGAGCAGTCTTGTATCATTTTGGTCACTATGACCTTCAAAGGGCTGAACAAGGTCAATGACCTCAAATGGGCTTGTGGCCTTTTGCTCAGAGACAGTTGCCTTGATTCTGGGGGCACTTTGGAAACCAACTTGGAATTTGACCTTGTTTGACCTTATTCGACCTGAAGGTCATGACCTAGGAAGCTGGAACCCTAACCTAAGTGAGTTCACATATAGTTCAAGACACCCTGTAAATTTTGTGTCTCTAGCTTTCTTAATTCCCAAGATCTCAGAGGGGGGTTCAAATTAACCCCCCCACACCCGAGCGAAGGGTATCTAGCTGGCCAAGGTGGGGTCAAGGAAAACAGACATTTTGTCACTGCTTCTTACAAAATACCAATGCTTATTTCCATGAAAGTAGCCTATGTCTAACCTAAAGAGGCCTTACATCATCTCATCCTGTATAACCTATTTGTATTGCAGCAGCAGTTCTGAGTTAATGATTCTTGCACAATTCCTATTGCCCATTGCCATGTACTTGACCAACTTAACCTAACTTAGAGTAGCCCATATGATGAGCATCATCTGAACTCACCTATCTGTTGACAAAAGCACTTGTGATAAAAACATGACAATTAAAGCTAGTTTTTGGCTGGTTTCAACTTGCATTTTTATTCAGCTCATTTTTGCATGCTTGTTGACATCAGACAAAGTTGACAACATGCAAATTGAAACACCTTAAATCACTTTGAACAACATATTTTGATTGTTATGGTTAGCCTATGTCACAGGCAAAAATGGACATGCTCCACAAAATAATCTCTCTTCTCCAAAATAACATAACTTTTAGATGACCATGCCAGTATTGCTGCTTGCCTTTTCAGCTGCAGCAAATGCATTTATTTGGGCTTCTTCATTCATATTTAATGACAAAGTTTGAGATGTTAGCTTCACATTTAAAATGGGGTGGCCTGACTATTTGTTACATAGCAATATTTAACTCATATTGGAATTGCTAAGCAGCTTAGAGTACCCTGTGTTAAAAATATAGTGCATATATACAGCATGGTCATTTGTCAGTCAGCAAACCATGACAACTATAGAAAACATCTGATTAAAGCAGCCATGAGGGACTACTTTAAGAAATTTGGGGCAAATAACCAAGCATATGTAACAAAATAAGCCAATTACATGCCTTGAGGCATCATAATTTGTCTTATGGCAAAACCCAATGCATTAAAACAGAAAATGGCTAACTCTCGTTACCAACCAGGTGCTGAAAGCAGGTATGGCAAGCAATTACTTGGTCCACAGGAGACTTGCCGGCTTTTTTTTACTTGGGTACCTGTATTGCCGACGGTGGGGAGAGAGCTACGCTGGCTACAGGGTTCCTGTACTGCCATGATGGAGAAATGCTGTTAGGTATCAGCCGACGTAGTGACGTCACTGAAAATGGGTTTGCATCGATCGGGATTCTTTTGGGCCGACTGAAGGCTACAAGGCATTTGCTAGCGATATGATGTCACTGGTATTCGACTGGATATGTGACGTCACTGGTTGTGAGGCTTTAGGGCTCTTTTGGGTGCAATGAATGCCGTAAAGCATCACCTGACGATATGTCGTCGCTGGTATTCAATGAAACATCAGGCGCAACGGGCCTTATTCCATCTTTACCTTTCGTACCTGTCTGCTGCAAGCATTTGCGTGCCGAATAAAAGCTTGACCGAATCACCTGAATGTGTGACGTCACCAATCATCACTTGATACGAGTGCACTTAGGCCCCACGGCCGCGGTGTATCATGTTCCGTGAAATATCACTGGGTATCGTGACGTCAGTGATATTCGACTAAATATTGGTCGCAACACGTCAAGGTCCATTTTTAGCTTCGTACCTGTCTACTGCAAGCACTGGCGTGATGAATAAAAGCTACCAAATCACGTGAGTGTGTGACGTCACTGGTCATGCATTTTTATGGATCTTTGGGGGCCAACTGAGGGCCGTAAAGCATAACCTAATGATGTGACGTCACTGGCATTCAACTGTGTGTGATGTCACTTGTGATCAGATTTTACGGCCTCTTTTGGGCCGACGAAAGGTCATACGACATTAACTGAAGATGTGCCGTCACTGGTATCCGAATACAATTCAGGCGGCCATGGCCATGCTCCATCTTTACCTTTAGTACCTGTCCATTGCAAGTATTTGAATGCTGAAGGAAGGGTCTGCCGAATTACCTGAGTGTGTAACGTCACTAACCATTAATTTGTATAGACTGTTTTGAACCCACTGTAAGCCATACCACATCAGCTGACCATATGACGTCACCGGTTTTCGTCTAGGTGTCATGCGCAACAGGCCATGCTCTATCTTTGCCTTTCGTACCTGTTTACTGCAAGCATTCGCGTGTTATATCAAGGTGATGCTGAACCATCTGAGTGCGTGACGTCACTGGTCATGAGTTTATACAGGTTCGCTTGGGCAGCCCAATGCAACAAAGCATCATATCCTGTAAAGCGTCGCGGGATGATATGACGTCACTGGTATTCGACTCAACATCAGGCGCAACAGGCCATGTTCCATCTTTACCTTTCGTACCTGTCTACTGCAAGCATTCGCGTGTTATATCACGTCATTGGTTAAGAGTTCTTACGGGCTCTTTTCAACCCCCTATATGGTATAATGCTTCAGTTGACGATATGATGTCACTGGTGTTCGACTTAACATCAGGCACAACATGTCATATTCCATCTTTGCCTTTCGCACCTGTTAAAGTAGTGGCGAGCCTAATGATGGCTCTGCCGAATCACCTGAGTGCGTCATCATGAGTTTTTACAGGCTATTGTTGGCCGAGTGAAAGCCATTAGGCATCATCTAACGATATGTCGTCACTGGTAATCCACTAAGTGTGTGACGCCATTGGTCATGAGTTTTCCCGCGCCTTTTTGGGCCGACTTAAGGCCATTAGGCATCAGGTAACGATATGACGTCACTGGTATTCAATTAAGCATCAGATACAATATGTCATGTTTCATCTTTACCTTCCGCACCCTATCTACTGCAAGTATTCGCGCGCCACATAAAGGCTCTGCCCAATCACCTGAGCGTGTGGTGTGACTGGTTATGAGTTTACGCGGGTTTACTCGGGCTGACTGAAGGACATCAAGCATCATCTGGCGATGTGACGTCACTGGTATTCAACTTAACACCAGGCGCGACAGGCCATGTTCGTCTTTACCTTTCGTACCTGTCTATTGTAAGCATTGACATGCTTAAGGAAAGCTCTGTGAAATCTCCTGAGTGTGTAATGTCACTGGTCATGAGTTCTTTACGGGCTGCTTTTTTGTACCTATAGGGTACAAGACATCAGTTGACGATATGACATCACTGGTATTTGACTTAATCTCAGGCGCAACAGGCCATGTTCCATCTTTGCCTTTCGCACCTCTATACTGCAAGTATTCGCGCGCTACATAAAGGCTCTGCCGAATCACCTGAGCATGTGGTGTAACTGGTCATGAGTTTACGCGGGCTTACTCGGGATGACTGAAGGACATCAAGCATCACCTGACCATATGACGTCACTGATATTCGGGCTGTGGCCCAGACTTATGGCCGCTAGGCGGCGCCCTTGATTATTATTTAGCCATCAGGGCATTCCGGACCGTAGCTGCTCAGGGGCGCATCCTGTGATGTCGGGCGGAATAGCTTTGCATATACGTCGGTTTGTGGGCTGGGAAAACCTTTGTTTTGTGTTTACGTTGGTTCAAAATTTTAGTCGTTGAAACAGCCCGTTGCGTTTGAAGTTGTTACTTAATGGTGCGCACAATAAAATTAGTGTGCTTAACTATGGTGCATCTCCCACCTCTGCTGCGGAACTCCGTAGCCGTAGGTGGCCAAGTGACCTCCTACCAACTGATGATCAGTGACGTCACATACTCAGGTGATTCGGCGGAGCCTTCATATAGCACGCGAATATTTGCAGCAGCCAGGTACGAAAGGCAAATATGGAGCATGACCTGTTGCGCCTGATGTTTAGTCGAGCACCAGTAACGTCATGTCATCAGCTGATGCATTATAACCTAAAATGGGTTCAAAGGAGCCCGTAAAAAACTCGTGACCAGTGACGTACACCACACTCAGGAGATTCGACGGAGCCTTCATATTCAGCACGATCATGTGCCTTTAATAAACAAGTACAAAACGGCTAAAGAAGTACGACTTGGGCATGTTGGATCCCTGATGATTAGAAGTCGAATAACCAGATGACGACGGATCTCATCCTGGGCTGTTCCAACCGGGAGGTATGTGCTTTGTGGCCTGGCCGGCCCAAGTTGCATCCGTATGGAACTCATGACCAGCGACGTCACCCAAGATGAATCTGGAGTTAGTTGATACAGTGACGTCATATCGTCGCTGATGCTGATGTCCGTCAGTCACCCACAACTCATGGCATTACACCCACGCTCAGGCGAATCGACAGAGCTTTTGTAGTGCAGATATTGCATTAGGCAGGTGCAAGTAAAGAACATGGTTATGCAACTGATATCGTCAAGTGACGCTATAACGTTATCAGCCTAATGACCTGAACTCGGCCAAAAAAGGCCCGTAAAAGCTCATGACCAGTGACGTCACACACTCAGTGGATTACCAGTGACGTCATTTCGTTAGCTGATGCCTTATGGCTTTCGCTCAGCCAAAAATAGTTGGTAAAAATTCATAACCAGTGACGTCGCACACTCAGGTGACTCGGCAGAGCCATCATTTAACGCACCAATACTTTACAGGTACGAAAGGCAAAGATGGAACATGACCTGTTACGCCTCATGTTAAGTCGAACACCATTGACATCATGTCGTCAACTGATGCATGTTTCCTTATAGAGGGTTCCAAGGAGCCAGAAAAATCTCATGACCAGTAACGTTACACACCCAGGAGACTCGACAGAGCCTTCATTCAGCACGTCAATACTTGTAATAGGCGGGTACGAAAGGTAAAGATAGAACATGGCCTGTCGCGCCTGATGTTAAGTCGGACACCAGTGACGTCATATCATCAGCTGATGCATTATACCGTTTGGGGGTACAAGTATTACCAGTGACGTCATATCGTCAGCTGATGCTTGATGTCCTTCATTCAGGCCAGAGTAAACCCGCGTTAACTCATAACTATTTACACCACACGCTAAGGTAATTTCGGCCCGAGCCCCCCTGGGTCCGCGCGCGAATACTTGCAGTAGATAGGTGCGAAAGGTACAGACGAAAACATGGTTTAGACTGGAGCATGGCCTGTTTGCGCATGATGTCTAGTCGAAACCCGTGCACATCATATCGTCAGCTGATGCCTTATGGCCTATAGTAGGCTCAAAAGAGTGTGCAAATTAATGGCAGTGACGTACACACTCAGGTTAATTTGGCAGAGCCTTCCACGGCAATGCTTGCAATGGACAGGTACCAAGATAAAGGTGGAACATGGTCTGTCGCGCCCGAAGTTCATTCGAATACCAGTGACGTCACATCTTCAGTCATTGCCGTATGACCTTTCGTCGGCCCAAAAGAGGCCGTAAAACCTCATGACCAGCGACACGCACAGTCGAGTGCCAGCGACGTCACATCGTTAGCTGATGCTTTATGGTCTTTAGTTGGCCGCACAAAAAATCCGCCAATACTTGCAGCAGACATGTACGAAAGGTATAAATGGAGCATGACCTGTTGCCTGATGTTCAGCCAAATACCAGTGACGTCATATCGCCAGCTGATGCCTAACGGCATTTCGTCGGTCCTATAGGGCCCGTGGAAACCCACGGCCATTGACGTCTTACAGTCGTATAGCAGTGACGTCCGCTAGCTGACACCTTGTGGTCTTCAGTTGGCCGAAAAGCACCGTTGGAACTCATGGCCAGTGATGTCACACACTCAGGTGGTTCGGCAGCTTTCATCCAGCACGCCAATGCTTGCAGCAGACAAGTACAAAGGTAAAAATGAAGCACGGCCTGTTGCACCCAGTATTTATTCGAATACCAGTGACGTCACGCTATCCGGTGATACTTCGCGGACCACGACACACCGTGGTCGTGGGGCCTAAGTGCACTCGTATGAAGTGATGATTAGGGACGTCACACATTGGGGTAATTCGGTCAAACCCCTATGCGGCACGCAAATGCTTGCAGCAGACAGGTATGAAAAGTAAAGATGGAACGAGGCCGGCCGCGCCTGATGTTCAATCGAATACCAGTGACGACACATGGCCAGCTGATGCATTACGGCATTCAGTTGACCCAAAAGAGCCTTACACACTCACGACCAGTGACGTCACATACCCAGCCGAATACCAGTGACATC